GTCTTTAAATGTATGGTACTTACCAAATATACCTACATTTCTACATGTTACATTTTAATACCTCAAATTAATATTTTAGGCAGTAAGCTATCCTTTACTTTAAATCTTTTTGTTTCTTATTGCAAAAGTAGTCCACTGTTCTCTTAACCTTAATTTAAGTTACATTCCATTTCTACCCTACTCTGGAGTAAATGGCTCGAACCGGGTGTTCTAGTTCGGCCCGACTCGACTCGACTCTATGTAACGATCGATCAGTTAGGGATGTCACAATATCACATCTAGATCTAGGTTTCATTTTGGCCTTTGGCATGTTTGGGATAACTATTGAACACTCAACATATGAACTTAGATACAATTCTAAAATAATTAAAATATGGGTAAATATAATTTAAGTCCCTAAATTATGCTTTTTCAAATTAATATTTAAGTCATTCACGTATTAAAAAACCAACTAGACGTCCTCACTATAATTTTCTTTTACTATTGAAGTCTTTCCGTATAAAAGTAACTCTTATATCTTTAGATATAGACGCATTTTTTTTTATAGAATATGCCTCATTTTGAACACTTTTTGGCCGGAAACTCGATAATGAGATTAAAACATATGCTTGGAATGTACGGTTATTTTTTAAAATGTAGAGAACTTAAATATTAATTTGAATATAATTTAGAGACATGATTATATTTTACCCTTAAAATATCTCATAAGAAAAAAATATTTGTAATTTGGATAAGTAGTAAAACTCTCTCTCGTTAATATATATATTGGCCAACTTATATATATTAATTAATATTTACTACAAATTTTATCGCTATGACTTATTAAATTATTGAGTTTTATTACCCTAAAAACATTTTTGAGTTGTTTATCGACTCTAAAACATATATTTCGAAAACAAGTTGATCATAATATATGTACATACATACTGGAAAACTTAATTTCATATTCAACAATATACTTTGGGTAACAAAGTGGTTTTTTTTTTTTTTTTTTTTTTTTTTTTCTGTGAATTATGTGAACTTGGTATAAAGTTGCTGTTACCATCAGACTATCGGAGCGATAGAATAGTGAGATCGCATACCTATATATAATCTATTCAAAATCCAATAATATATTCTTGCGATAACAAACATATGGGAGCCTCATGCACAAACAGAGTTTGTTAGCGAAAGAATGTTCTCGTCTCTTATGTTTTGTTTTGCATAATGAAATTGATGTATATACGTTCATAAGCACTTACTTGCATGGTAGCCAGTCTTTTTGAGACCTGATCATGTTACTTTTTTGAAGTACTATATAATATCAACATGTTAAATCGCAATAGCTTAGACAGCCTTATTTATAGATTGTTGTGTGAGCTATGCATAGATATCTCTGGAGACTACAAGTTAAATCTTAGACTGAATAGGCGGAGTATTTGGGCAAATTTGTGGTTCAAATGTCTTCTTGACTAAGATCTCACCCTATTCCTTATTTAAGAGAGTGGATAGAAAGTATGATCACACCTCCGCTCACCTAGCTGGCCAAAGTAATAAGGAGAATGGTGTATTGATAATATGATTGGGGCTACTCATGTAGGTTTAGTTGATTTTGTATATAAGATATTGCCGTCTCGAAGTGAGATTTGAAGTTTCATTGCTAAACGTAATTTATGAATACTGCTGTGCACGATCAAGATATATATGTAACATATCTTCATGATCTCAATAATTTTTTATTTAGCTAACTCCTATAATTTATTTCATATGATATAATTCAATTATATAAGATAGCAGTGTGTGCACGAAAGATTACCAGGGCGTGCAATCCGCGAGATAAAACAAAACTCTCTCATAAATATTTGGACCCTAATAGGGAAAATTATTGAGTATGGATCAAGGACTAGAAGGTAGAGACTCTCGCACAAAAGGAACATATATATTTCAATGTTTTTATTTAACAATGATATATATGGCTGCAACAAAGAATTAGTCAAGGCTATTGAAAATCTAAGAGGAACAGACATATTTTAAGAGCTGATGACAAGGCTTTTTGGCTGTTATTTTGTGTCTTCTCGAGTACTCCAGATGTTATGTAATGGGAACACCTTTAAGATGAATTGCTTTATGTAATTAACGGCCCGGCACCATTGTTTTTGCAATCATTGTGTGTTTGTTGTTATTAGCAACAAACTGTACCACGATTTATATGGTCATGGGGTTTTCTCATTGAGACGACATATGGTAAACAACTTGTTTAGCAGCAGTAGGACTCACGACATGACAAAGGTATTTGTATAGAAATGTTAGTAGCATAAACGATGGTGGCCTATAAAGAAGTCTAACATATTGAAATAGTATTGAATGGTCTCTACTGCCACATTATAATATTTTAAATACCGTGTGGTACACCATATATGTGATTTATTTATAGAAATAATGGAACTATGTGTATTGTACCATAGGAATCAGGTTATCATTTGGATGTTCATTTTCGTTCGCAGCGCACGAGAGCCACTGTATATATCGTTTAATTGTAGAAAATATCTGAGATCTTCTTTAGATATGGCAAATATTACTCGCACACGGCACTCGGTCTTTCATTGGTGCTTCGATATTACTATAATCTCTTTGTGATTATCCAATATTGATATTTTTCTCTTTCTTCTAGCTACTCTTAATTCAAGGGCTAGAGATAAATCAATTTGTTTTAAGTATTATTGTATTTAGTGTGTTTATATTAGAATTCTACTTTTATTAATACACTAATCTATTATTATTATGCATTCACCCACTCTCTTTTCGGATGTGTAATAGAAGTTATGATTGAGATATTGTATCTTCAATTATGATTTAGTGGTGAAGGAAAAGAGAATAAATTTATATCTCCAATATGTGTATTTAATTAAATATTTCTATGGCATATTTGGTCTTATTTATTATATTGATATAAACTTATATTCCGATAATATGATAAGAGAATTATCTGTAATACTAAAAACATTAAAATTGATCTTACTTACTAATTAATACTCTACCAATATAATGAATTCGCTCTACATAGATTGTATAGAACATTTCTATTTTAGTTCGGTTCGATCCTCAATCCAGTCATTATGCCGTCATCAATAAATTAATAGTGCAAGTATTACTATATTCTCGTGCTTACTTACTACTTTGGCTTTCTACACTCATAACATAGCATAAACTACTTTACTTTATTATAATATATATCTATATATATATAATATATATATACTATTATATATTATATATATATATATATATATACTATATTATATATATTTATATATATATATATATATATCTTAAATAAAGTAATAAGATAGTGCTATATATGTAAAGCTCAAAGTGATAATATTCACTAAAATTATACCTGCATTAATAACAATAGATCAAAATATAATAATCGAAGAAAGAAGAATATCAATTACTATGACCCACCATATGTCTTTTATGTAGCGGTTTAACTCGTTAGATTAAGTTAGGTGAATTATATATATCTAAGTTTAATATGCCAAAGAAAATTTAATATCCATGGGGATTATCTGCCCCCTAATTAATTGGATGTTCAAATTTCAAATTTACACTCGACGAGATTGGCCATCAATATATTGATAGGGTTAAAAACAATATATAATAACTAAAAAATAGTTTACCTTTATAAAAAAAAAAAAAAAATTGAAAACTCAAGAACTCTGCATACACGAAGCACCATGGACCCGGTTGCGATGTCCGGTTTATCATAAATTATATATTTATAAATATAATTTTGAATTATATCTATATAATAAAATTTGATATTTTATTAATAAAATTTATGCACAGTACTTTATTATTGGTAACTTCATACATAACAATTTAATTTATAGACAACGTTTTATTAAATATTGTTGTTCATTTTCCATGTCAATGTACTCATGTAATAAAACCATAATAGTATTCTGTACATTTTGATAACACAACACAATGCAAATAATTTGTTGCTATCACACAAATGCAAATATATTTTTCAAAAGCTGAAAATCTATATTTATGTTTGTTTTGTCTAGTTTGCACAATTTATTATAAATTTTTAACAATACGAATTTTTATTGTTCAACCTAAAATATTTTTTAAAAAAATAATAATAATTAATAAAATTATTGATGAATATATACATATTTTGATCCCATATTTAATTGGAGATACTTTTCACTGGATTCTTATAATCCTAAAAACTCATATCAAGCCCATTTCTTACCTTTCTTCTTCTTCCGCTAGACATATTTTCTTTCATCCCCTGCTCATAATAAATGGGTGAGTCTTAAATGAGACCAAATCCCTTCTCGCCATTATCAAATTTGTCCCAAAGACTCTACCCAGTTTAGAGTCTTTAGCTTTAAACTTTAATATTATCCAAGATGCTCTCAACACCCAGCAGATGCTTACTTAATTTTCGGCTTTCATCGGCTAATGGTTTCTTGATTCGTTTTCTTATAGCAGTTCTACCAGTACACACGCCAGAGGTAAAAGCAATCTTATTTCCATTCGATAACATTGATTGATGCTTTTGCTTCTTTCCAGTTGATGCTTCTAGTAATCCCTCACCATCTATTGTGAATTTGGTAAATATTTTTCTGCACTTGTTTCGAATGAAACATTACGAGACGTGTAATTTCTTCTTATACTAAAACGATGGAATTGTTTTGGAATTTCACTCGATATATTGTATAAAATATTTGACTATAATATTGGCTATAATATGCATGTGGACCGCGTGATTTTTGGATTCTCCTTTATTAGGAAAATCTTCCAAACTTGGTTTTCAGCCTGACATTATAACGCTTAATACGTTGATTAACGGGCTTGTCAGTCGAGGATAGATTTGATGAGCTGTGGAATTATTTGATGAAATGGTGCAAAAGGGTATCAACCTGATGTCTATACTTATAACGTGAATTGTGAATGATCTGTGTAAAATTGGGGAAAAACCAATGTGGCCTTTGGTATTTGAAAGAATGGTCGAGAAGGTTCGTGAACTGATGTGGTCTGCATATTAATGCTATCATTGAACAGCCTGTAAGGATCGATGGGGAACTGAGGATTAGAAGCTCTTCTGAAAATGAAGAGGTGAAGCATCTTGCCGAGGTTGTGACTTACAGCTCCTTAATCCATGAGTCTGTGCATTGTTCAAGTCGATGAAGGAAGCTTTTTTTGTGGCTTAACAAAATGTTGAAAGCCAACCATCACGCCCAGATCTAATTACCTTCACTATACTTGGGTATATGGTCTTTGTAAGTTTGGCAAGGTATCAAAGGCTTATGTATTGTTCAAATTGATGATTCATAGCTGATGTTAATCTTCAACTCTTTATTCCACGGTCTGTGCAAGTTCAGGCCGATGGGTAGAAGCTTTATTCATGAAAATGTTGGAGTGAACATTGCACCAGATATATTACTTCAATATTATTGGTTTATGGACTTTAGTTAAAGAAGGGAAGGGTTTCAAAGCTCATGGACATAGTCAAATGGATGATTCAAAGGAGGAAAAGCCTGATGTTGTGACATATAGCTCTTTGATGGATGGATATGTCTACTCACCAAACGGATCAGCTAGGGAAGTTTTTTGACATCATGCTAAGCAAGGGTTATAACACCTAATGTTCGTTTACCTACAGTATCTTGATTTGACTGTTACTGTAGGAGAAAAAGGTTAGATGAGGCGATTGAGGCTTTTCGATGTAAATGCGTTAGCAAAGGCTTGATTTCCAGACCATTTCAATATAATTCTACCATTTCACATATAATTCTCTTATACGTGGCGTGTGTAAAGCAAAGAGCCCTCAGGCTGCATATAAGTTTTTCAAAACCTTGTGTGCTAGTGGCCATTCTCCAGATGTGTTTGCTTACTCGATTTTGATAGATGGCTTCTGTAAGCATAGGTGTCTAGATGTGGCATTGTCCCTCTTTCATGAAATGCAGAAAAACTCATTGAAGCTTGATATTATTGTCTATAATATCCTAATTGATGGTATGTTCAAAGCTGGAAAAGTTAAAAATGCAAAGGAACTGTTTTCTAGACTTTCCATAGAAGGGTTGCAGCCTGATGATTTCACATTCAGTATGATGATCAATGGACTTTGTAAAGAAGGATTACTCGATGAAGCATTCAAGGTGTTCAGGAAAATGGAAGGGAATGGTTGCTCTCCAAATAATTGCTCTTATAACGTGATTATCCAAGGATGTCTCCGGTGCAATGACTCGTCCATGGCAAACCAACTTATTGATGAAATGGTTGGCAAGGGGTTCTCCGCCGATGCCACCACCTTGGAGTTGGTAATGAATTTAGTTTTGAACAGATGATCCTCTTTGGCAAAAGTTTGTAAGAGTTGCTAAGCTGCTCTAAACATTCTCAAGGTGTAAACTTGAAGTGAGATTTTAGGATAGAACAACTGTTATACTGTTGCAGGAGGTTTTTGTCATATTTCTAGTTATGCCACTGCAATTTGTCTCGAAAACATGTTGTATTTTCTGCAATTCAATCTTTAAATGATGGTTGAATTCAGTATTTTCTGCAATTCAATATTTGTATCAGACTCCTGCATATTGCCTTAGCGATAGTATCTATTTACAATTGCTTCATTGGATACACATATAAAACAATTCTTCCTATCTTAGTTGTAGAAGATTAGTTCATAATTACATGTCTAGCGTTTATGCATACTTAAAAAAACTCAAGTATGTGCTCTGTTTTTATGTTGATTAGTATTGTAGTTGTTAAAATTATAATTAGTGATTGAGTTGCATAACCTTCTGCTTCGAAATCGACATTAAACAAGCACAAAAACTAGGCCTTGGTTTGCAAAATGGTTGATAAATGAGTGGCTCTTCAGTATGACTAGTTATACAGGTTGAAAAAGGCTACCATTCTTTTTTTTTTATTTTTTATTATTATTTTTTTTAATATAAGCAAGCAAGCAAGAAGTGACAAGCAAGCAAGAAGTGAATTCCATTAAAAAGCTATGATATATTGATAGTTTAAAAATAAAACAAAAAATTATCATTTTAAAATTTATTTTTTGATTTGGTTGGTTATTTTGGGCTCCCATCTAAATAAGAATCTTATTTATTCAGGAATATACTTAAAAAAGGAAAATTAAATCAAAATATTAACTCATTAGATAAAAAAAGAAACCAAAAAGTTGAAAAAAAAAAATTTATGTAATCATATTAAAAAAAGTTATCTTTTCTTTATTTTGACAATCTTACATATTTAATAATTTAATTTTTTAAATTTTGCGCCAACTTTTCAAAACCACAATTAGTTAGGATGGTAATAAACTACTATATCTTTTTTTTTTCCTTTTTTTGAGACTAATAATCAAAAGTTCATTATCGAAAACGATTGATAGAAAATGGTACCTCTTCTATCTAGATTTGCTCTTCTATCTCAAGAGAAAGAACTAATTTTCCTAATGAATGAGCTACTTTATTATCCTACATATAGCTACATGAGAACACTTGTGAGAGCCACTAGCCACTATATCACCATTTGAGTTTCTTATAACCATTCCAAAGCTAATTCTCCAATCAGCACGAATCGTAGCATCACAATTCACTTTAAAAATACCTTCCACCGAACATTCCTACCAACATGCTCCTACCCGATTGGCCCTGTTGCTGTCCCTGGTAATCAGACCATAGAGACAAAACTTGTTCCACCACCTGCACTTCATTGAGCTTCTTCTGTTGGAGCAGTAGCACGTTCCTCTCCCTCCAAATGGACCAGGATATCATATACGAAATTTCCATTTATTCAGGTGAAAATTTGTAGAAATTAACTTGATCCACTCCAACGCTGACCCTGCATTCCAAGATGGCCTTAGTCTCAGTGGCACAAAAGACAAATTCATTGATATTCTGGGTAGTTAACGAGCATATGAAGTGTCCTTTCTTCCTCCTCTCCATACCAATCACAAACAGAATCCACATCAGTTTTCCGCCGGATCAGTTCCACTTTAGTTGGGAGTAAATTTTGACAAACTCGAATCATAACTTGTTTAACTTTGGGCGGAACATTTTGTTTCCAAAGGAGCTTCCAAAAGGAGTTATTCGAAAGCACAAATGAGCTAGCAATGTCGCATAAAATTTTTGAATGAAAAGCAATGTGATAAGCAGTTTTAACAGAGTAAAGGCCATGTCTAGTCCTTGACCATTTGAGGAGGTCAAAATCCCAATTCGGACTGAGAGGAATACTACAAATCTCTGTAGCTTTATGAGGTTCGAAAATAAACTCAATAAGGGTAAAATCCCAATAACCCGTTTCAGGAACGAGGAGCTCTTGCGTCTAGTATAGCAGGGGCTGAATGAACACGAAATTTCGGTTGCCTCGGTGACCAATTATCCTTCTATATTCTAACCCTTCTACCATTTCCAATAATCCATCGAGAACCCTTTTGAATTAGCCATCTTGCCACCATCAGACTTGAAAAACTCAGTCTAAATCCCAATTTTACATCCATAAAAAGTTTTTTGGATAATATCTTAATTTTAAAAATTTAGCTAATAATGCGAATGGTCTGTAGCCAATGGCCAACATTGCCTTGCAAGCATTGCCAAATTGAAGCAAAGTAAATTCTTAAAAACCTAGACTCCCCCCCTTTCGATTTGGATAAACGTAGTTTATTCCACTGAGCCCAATTAATCTTTCTTTCATTTCCTTTTTGACCCCAGCAAAATTAAGCATAAGGGACTCAATTTTATTGCAAATATTAGACGGTAATAAAAAAAAAAAAACTGATAGTATAGGTGGGAATCGACTAGATAATAGCTTTTAAAAGTACCTCTTTCCCTGCTTTTGAGAGCGTTCGCTCTTTCCATCCCTTTAGTTGTTCGCTCTTTCCATCCCTTTAGTTTTTTTCTAAAGCAAGATCGCTAAACATTGTCATCTAGTTTCTCCCAATAACAGCAGGTAATCCCAGGTACTTGTTGTATTAAAATATCACCAATTAATTAAGAAAAATCACCAAAATGGGCTGCCACAATAAGTTAAATATTTGGCATGTTTCAAGCCCAAAGGTGGAAACTCAAGCCCAAAGATGGATGACCCAAGCCCACATGGTGTGTAAATACCTAGGACATTCCAGAATATTTTCACCCACAAGATATTTTAATAAAATATCTCACTTAGAATGCTCCATGTAATCTCCACCGTACATTTTTATAAGTAAATCATAGCCGTACATTGAGGAAGTGGAAATGCCTATAAATACCACCCCTCACCTCATTTGTAAACACCAAGCAAAAACCAAGTCCAAAAAGCAAGTAAGTAATTCCTTCCTTAAGGTTTGTGAAAATTTGCTTCTTATTAATACAATTTTATTTGGTGTTTTGTGTTAGTATTATTTTGGTTGCCTTTCCCATTATTATTCTTGGTGTGTTATAAATTATTAATCAATCTTGGAGTTTATCACTACACCGATATCCAACAAGTGGTATCAGAGCCTAGTTGTGGTGGTAGTTGTTGTAGCCGTGGTATTTTGTGGTGTTCATTTACAAGTGTATGGTATTGTTACTCTGCTGGAATTAACATTCGGGGATTGTTGTTGAAGCAACAAGATTCACAAGCAAGGATTGTGATAGTGAGTGGTCAAGGATCGTCGTGCATCGGTTAGTGTCAGGAACACCAGTACCTTATGGCAGATTTTTCTAGAGTTGCTAATAGCATCGAGAAGCTAAATAGCAACAATTACGGGCCTAGAGTACCCGTATGAGATATTATCTCATAGATCAAGACTTATGGGATCTCATCGGAGGAGATAACACTACACCACCAGTTGGGGATGCGAAAGCTCTGAAAGAGTGGGAGACGAAATGCGGGAAGGCGATGTATGTGCTGACGGTTGCAGTAGAAGATGAGCAGATGCAACGAATCAAGTCGGCTAAAATACCAAAGGAAGCATGGGACATCCTCAAGTCTGCTTTCCCCAAGAAGAATGAAGCAAAACTGCAACGGCTCGAAAACGAGTTGTTCTCAATCTCGCAACATAACCTCACTGTAGGTCAATACTTTTCTAAAGTAAAATCTTTATGTGAAGAGATTTTGAAATTTGATCTAGACAACGAGATCAACGAGACAAGGATGAGGAGGATCATCATCCATGGTCTAAGACCTGAATTTAAGGGTTTTCTGACTGTTACTCGTGGTTGGGCTACACAACCAACCTTAGATGAGTTAGAGAATAATGAGTTAGAGAATATCTTGTCCAATGAAGAGACTTTGGACGAAAAATGTCTAAAGTAGCTTTGAAGGATGATGAGAAAGCTCTCTTTGCTAAAAAGAGGGGATTTCGAAATGTTGCGAGAGTAGATGGTGGAAAAGAAAGGAGTAATCAATAAGGATGGAGAAAGCAAAAGTGGAGACAATCACAGCAAGGGGGAGCAAGCCCAAGACAAAGGAAAGACGATTGGCGAGAAAGTGATCGTTGCTATAAGTGCAACAAAAGAGGACATTTTGTAACACCCCTTTCCGGTCCACCCGTAAACCCGAATGAACCGAACCGAGACGCTACAAACGCTACAAACTGGTTCACTGTTATGGTCTGACACTGCTGAAATCATAATGTATATTGATAAACATCATGCTGATGCTGTTTATAACATATTGTACTTAATGTTTAAAGACATGGATACTAGTTTACAAAATGGAAATGGGCCCAACTGTTGTGCCCTGTACATGCCATAAAAGGGTAGGACAAATACACATTCCAAATGAGATAAGCTACCCTGAGACTGAGTCTTCTACAGAGAACTGCAGCGTGTAAGACCGACTCTCTACGGACAAACTCGAAACCTTGCGAGTTAAACAGGTAACTTGCTGAGCAAATACAAGCTCAGTGGAATCCTCAACATATAAAGAAACAATTAAGCACATCCATAGATAGAAATAAGCATGTTTAAACACATATGGCCACATATACACACGTATAAGCACACATATCATGATACTTTCATTCTACCTTGATGATCTTTCTTGCTATTTATTATACTGTATGATTCATGCAATATTATGTCAAGATATCTATATGGCTCAATAAGGTTATAGTGAAACCAAAGTGATAAGGAAAACTGTATGAAACTGGATGAATACTGTATGACTGGGCTGCTATGGCCATTATATCATCATATTCACTCAACGGTCTGTAGCCGGAGTACCAAACTGTATGGGGCGCAGATCTGCTATCCTATGTCATGACATAGCCTTATCTACGTGGTTTCTACCTAACCTCAATGGAGCGGCATAATGTTGATATGTCAAAGAATATAACACAAACAAATATAACACAACATCATATTCATAGTTCATAAATCATAATGTTTATTTGATTTCACATCATTTGTATGCTTGCATGATGTTTTGATACATGGTCTCATGTTGTATTTTGATGTTAAAGTGATTGGAGGCATATAAGTGAAGCAAGGAATACAATTGCATTGAAAAAGAAATCCAAAAGTGCGTGAAAACATAAGTCGTGAGCGCGCCTTGCAAGGTCGCGAGCGCGTACTTGAAAGTCGCGAGCGCGTACTCCAAAAAGCTTGAGTTCT